GAACCCTGCACTCTGTCCCCTCTCCCCAGGCCGGCTTCAGGCAGCTCGTGACACCTGCTCTAAGGCTGGCAGCCACAGGTGCATTGTGGGACCTGCTGGGTGCACACAGGTGAACACAGCCATCAGGAACAAGTTCTCCTTCTAGAAAAGGATTACGCCCTGCCCTGAGCCAAGCTGTCAAGGGACCACGGGGCATACTTTTTGACCTGGGTAATGCAAAGTAAATAAAGCTGCTAAAGAAAACAAGGCCACTGAAATAGGCAGTTTACTCTAACGTTAATGCAAATCCAAGCCAATTCCAGGATTTTTTTTGCTATTGATTTTGTTATTCTGGTTATTCTGTTTTTGAACTAAAATTCATGAAACAGAGCCAAAGCCCAAGAAAGTAAAACGATTTTGGAGGTTGCGCATCCTATCATACCAAAGACTTATCCTAAAGCTACTGTATTTAAGGCAGTGGCTCACGGAGAGTATCCAGTTGGCTGCGAACCCAGAGAGAGTGCCCCAAACCAGCTGCTCCTCCCTCACTTTTCCATCACAAACATGATAAATCCCAGGGGGATGAGATACACAAAAGTAAAAAGCAGAATTTAAAAAAATTTTAGGCCCAGCCAGTGTGGCTCAGTGGCTGAGCATCAACCTATGAACCAGAAGGTCACAGTTCGATTCCCGGTCAGGGCACATGTCCAGGTTGCAGGCTCGATCCCCAGTAGGGGGCATACAGGAGGCAGCCGATCAATTATTCTCTCTCACCATTGATGTTTCTCTCTCCCTCTCCCTTCCTCTTGGAAGTCAATATTTTTTTAAGTTTTTTAAAAATATAGCTGAATGTCAGGATAAGGAAGGATTTCATTTAAAAAGACATCAGAAACACAAGTCAGCCTGTGGACTGAAGGGTCCCGGGTTCGATTCTGGTCAAGGGCATGTACCTTGGTTGTGGGCACATCCCCAGTAGGGGCATGTAGGAGGCAGCTGATCGCTGTTTCTCTCTCATCGATGTTTCTAACTCTCTATCCCTCTCCCTTCCTCTCTGTAAAAATATCAATAAAATATATTTTAAAAATAAATAAAAAAAATAAGAAGTCAAGAAGGCAGGGCAGTGAGGGAGCCAGGACTCAAGCAGCGATGGTGGGTTCCCTGGGCTTCCCTGTTGACTCATATGTCCCAGAACCAGAGCTGAAGAAGCTGGCAACCCAGAAATGCCAACGGATGAGACAAGAAAGGTCCCAACCAAAGCCTGCTCTCTAGCTAAAAGCAGGAGGGGCAGCCTAGCAAGACAGAAAACGTTTGGACAATAGCAGCTCTCTTCTAGCCAGACACCACGGGAGGCAACTGGGCTCCACTCCCACCCACCAGCAAAGGCCAAGTGGGGAACCTAGACTTCCACCCTCAGGAGGCTGCGACAAGGCGCCCGAACACCCCACTGAGGCCACCTCGGACCTCCATCCCCACTGGCCAGCAACAGTGCGCTGCCCTCGGCCTCCTCCTGCCCTAGCCCCGCAGGTAATGCAGGTTTCAGAGCAAAGAAAATTACCAGAGATAGAGAAGGGCATCATATGATGACAAAAGGGTCAACCCACCAAGAAGACTAACCCTAGAAGTATATGCACCAAACAACAGAGCTATAAGCTATGTAAAGTAAAAACCGATAGAACTGAAAGAAAAAGATTGAAAATCCACAATCCTAATTGGAAACTTCAATACCATCCTCTCAACAACTGACAGAACCAGAAAGAAAATCAGCAAGGAAACAAGAGAACTCAAAAGCACCACCGATCAGCATCTCCTTGCTCTCCCCCTGACAGCAGGTCACATTCTTTTCAAGTGTTCGTGGAACACGGACCCAGACAGACCATAGCTAGAGCCACGAACAAACCTCGACCAATTTAAAGACGTGAGATAATACTGAATGTGTTCTCCAACCACAGGAATCAAATCAGAAATCACCGACTAAAGGAAAACAGGAAACTCTCCAAGCACTTGAAAACCATACAACATACTTGTAAGTAATCCTGGGTCAGAGAGGAAGTTCAAGGGAAATGGAAAACTGCACTACACTGAAGAAAGACAAAAACAGGTTTGTTTCAGAACTAAAGCAGTGCTTAGAGGTGAACTGATAGCGCTGAGTCCAGCAGGGAAAAAAGAGAAGTCTCAAACCAGCCATCTACGCTCCCACCTCAGGCATCCGAGAGAAAAGTAAAGCCCTGGCAGGCGTGGCCCCGCCGCTGGAGCCTGGTCCTACGTGCGGGTGGGGTCCAGTCCCGGCACACCCCTAGGCTGCGGCTAATACCCGGTTAGGGCGCACGTGGGAGGCAACAGATAGGTGTACGCTTCTCTCTCTCTCTCTCTCCCTCCCTCCCTCCCTCCCTTCCTCTCTCCCTCCCTCCCTCAATCTCCCTCCCCCTCCCTCTCTCTAAGATCAATTTTTTTAAATGTTTGTATTGATTTTAGAGAGAAAGGGAGGGATAGAGAGAAACACTGATGTTAGAGAGACACATCGTTTGGTTGCCTCCTACACACACCCTGGTCAGGGCGGGGATCAAACCTGCAATCG